GAACAGGTTGTAAATGACATTGCCTAATGGATAAATACACCTTTTATAAATATGTAAATTTACTTGTGCTTAATGATTCGTACTGACTAAATATTATTGTCTAGATTTTTATATAAAATCTTTTAAATATTATACGATTGGTTATTATAAAATCCAACATCGTAAATTGTGAAATTGGATATTGCGAGGTATCGAGCGATGAGAAAAAGAATCGTAATAAGATAGTAATTTTCGTGGTTAGAAGACGAGATTTATGAGGTCGGAGGTTAAGTTTAATAAAAAAAAAAACAGCGTGAAAGGGATCTTGAGATGACAAAGAAGGATGCACTACGTGTTACAGTTACTCCTTCTCCTTCTCCTTCTCCTTCTCCTCATTCTTATTCTTCTGCGAGAGAGCGATTCATCTTTCACAGATGAACACAAACGCCGTGCCGAATTACCGAAGAAAACGACGAAGAATTGAAGAGCACGAAAAGGGACACAATAAACCTATATCGGTTTCGTGGTATCACGTTACCCTTGCCTTGGGTAGCAAATATCACGTAAAAAAGTCGTTACGATTCTTATACCTTCCCCGCTTTCGAAACGCAAAAGAACCTTTGTAAAAATACTTACATGTCGAGACTTGGGCGACAAAAAAAAAAGAATAAAATCACTGCGGATATTTTTGTGACTGTTGCGAATTATCTAAAACCGGAAAACGTTAGCCGAAAGTAACTTTCGATATCACCTTTCATTTTTATAAGTCAGGTTTTCACGATAAGAGAGTTTATCAGGATGCTCAAAAAATGCCAAATTATCTTTTTCAATCACGAATTGATCAACGAACAAGTTAGAATAAAGTCGATTTTCATGTAAGTAGTAAATACTTATTCGGAAACCCCATTGATATTAAAATTAAATATTTCATAAATAACAAGATAATTGATTAATTTAATTTGCAAGGCAATAATTTCAGTGATCTTTAAGTTTCCTGTATATATAATAATGGCATATTACAAAATTTACAAAAAAATTATCTCGTTCGTCAACCCACGAAGCTACATCATTCCAAAAAATATATACTACTTAAAAATAATGTATAAAATTATCCACATTATCTTTACTTATTTTTCATATGTTATGTAGTTTTGATAGATTTGCTATATAATATATAATACCCGAACGGGATCTTCCCTTTCTAACTTTTAAAGCCTATCACATATGAATGCAAGCGCGTGCGTTCGCAATCGGTTTTCCTGACTTACGACCGTAACATATTGACGAAGAGCACAGCCGTGAAGAGTATAGTGATTGTCGGCGGCGGCGGCGGCGGCGGCGGCAGCATAAAACCGTCATTACCGCCAATTACAATAAATCCCGCGCTGTATTCTCCGCTTATCGTTTTCCATGCGTCTACGTTCAAGGTGCGGTTTAATCTATAATCCGATGTGAAGGTAATGGGGGGCATAGATATACGGGGTGTTCCAAACGTGCTATATTGCATAGATTAATAGCATGCGTTAGACATCAAGAAAAATAGCTTCTTTGATGCAAAAGCATAATTCCCAATTCCTTAAAAATCCTTGAAACTCAAAGAATACTATAACGATTAAATTTCAAGGGTGTTCAAGTAGCGATGAATTATAATAATTATTCTTCAATAGTTTGCTCATCAAGATATTTAATATAAAAAACGTTGTAATAAAATCTCTTATCAAGTTTTAAAAAAATATTTTCATTCCCAGTAGTTCGCTTGAGGAGCCATCGAATATATCGCGAATGTCGAGACACTCCGTATAGATGTGAGTTTCAAAAGAGAGGCTCTCTCTCGTGAGAGGAACGAAACGAAAGAGGAAAAGAGGGAGCGAAGGGAGAGAGTAACGGAGTGAGGAATCGGCAAAAAGACGGAGGAAAGCGGGTGTGCGCGGCGAGCACAACTGGTGCGGCGCGGCGCGCGGGTAATCATTTTCCGCGGCTACACTTTCACGACTGATGATCGGGTAGCGTTTCAGCGGCGATCGGCCAGATTTACTCCACCCTGTAATGTACGTGTGCGTACGCGCGCCGCGTGCGTGCATACGTGCATGCATGCGTGCATATGCGTACGTCGCCCGGCGTATTCGCGGACGCGACTCGCGCCCGAGCTAATGCCGGTGTAAACGCAACCACCGCGCGGATACCACTTGGTGCTCACTCGCGGAGCTCCGCTATACATCGCCTCGAGACTTCGCCGTCTAGAGACAAGTGGAATGAACTCGCACGCATCCATGGGACTTCCGCGAGGCGCGTCAGCTCGCCCGCTAATAAAACCGGGTCCCGCTATATGCAGATGATTACTGATTACTCTGAATTGTAGTCGGACGATCGATTTCGAACGTGCGGAATCGTGTGTGTAAATCTAACTGTTATTTATACAGTTACACGGAGTAAAATGAAAATTTTACAGTTTTTTCATTATTTTTAGTTAAAAGACTATATACGATAAGCTCGATTTCTCAAATATACAATTTGTCTTTTGGTAACGCATCTGTATATAAGAGTAAATCAAATATATCGTGCAGCATAAGATATAAAGTTTAATTTTAATATGTAAGATATATTCTCTACCGTGAAGGAAATTCAATTCAAGGCTTATTCAAAGTTTATTCACCTCTACGGCTCTACACTAACTAGCTTTACATATATATGAGTCTATAAGCCTGACACATTTAACAAAGCCGCGGGATTAACAAACTTGGTGGCTACGAAGGGTATAGTATATAGGAAGAGTAAAACAGAGAACATTACTGGATCAGGCAATGTAAAAGGTAGATTAACCAGGGGTACTAGTTAGACTTGTTACGATTCTGCCTCCTGAAAGAGACTCCAGCAAAACGGCGTGGCCGCCGATGCACGACGCCCGCATTGGAGTGCACGTGGTGACTCTCCAGCGACCGCGCAACCACACAGCCGTGGTCCAGATAGATCACGTCCGATATAATTAATGAGCACGACCCGCAATTCCCATACACACCTCCGGCTCGCCCGGTCCGCCCTAACAAGCACCTCGGCGAACCTAAGCTAACCCGTGCAACCGAGAAGTCGAACTGTTCCGTTCGCGGCGAGGAGGCATTATGTAGGTATCTGGGTGAGAGAGCCCGCGCTTCCCTACTCGCGATCTTTCCGATAAAAATTGGCGATTACGATTCGGCCGATCGTACCAGTCGCCAATTATACGAATGGCATGTTATCTTAAACGACGATATACCATCGAACCAGTAATCATGTCTATGATGTATAGATTTTTACAATGGGAAACATTGTACGCTTATACCTGCTTATTTTTAGAATAATTTTTAAGTACAAATATTTTCAGATATGTCACAGATTAGACTTTTAAAATATTTAAGTACTTTTTCTTATTATTGTATACGAGTAGTGCTTTTTTTATTATACACACATCATATACATATATTTATGTACATTAACAGCATTTGAGAGATGTTTCCTAAAGCTCATGATAAAAAACGCTTATTATAATAATATTATTATTTTTTATGAAACAGTGATATTATTACATCTCAATACTAAAGAGATAAGCATAAAAAATCAATCAAATAAAGAACTAATCATTATTGTTTTCTTACTTTTATATCGTAAATATGGCAATTGTCTACAGAAAGAAAATGTGAATACTGCAGAATAATCCAATATCTAATGTTCAAATACGTAATAGTTCTATTAAATTTTAGCAAAAATATTATAATAAGAATGTTAATGAATATAAATAAGTATTTTATATAGACTGTATTAATGCTGATTAGACAAGTGACTTCAGTTCCATGCGATGTGTATAAATGCGAATAAGTCAAGTGGCGCGAGGGGCATGCCTCTGGACGAGGTCGTGCAGAGAAAGTTGAGATGCTTAAACTTTCAATCAGGATGTCATAAACGTTAGGCGAAATAACATTCCATATCAGATTTATTCACTGACAATGAGCCATATTTCCTCGCGCGAATTGTCACTGGCAAGATGCGATCAAAGAAGATGAATTCTCATCGATGCGCCCACACTAAATTCCACGGCGATCGATTGAATAAAACTGATATCTCGCGACCAGACAATACGATCAATATTTATTGTTAACGATAGTTAAAAATCTAGATGCAGGAAAAAAAATTTAATATAAAAAGATAAAGAAGAATAAAAAGCGACAAAACAGATAAAAGAATTACCAACAGTATCCGAAATTGGCACGTAAGAGCTTATTGTTAAATGCAAAATATAATGCGAATAATGTGAAGCCATCTTTTAAAAAACATTTGCATGACGGTAAATGTCTCTCGCTAATAAATTTTGCTGTATTGCGGTTGCTTTATGATTATCATCAGCGTGAATATTTATAATAAATAAACGACAGAACTTTATAATTGCAAATTATATTAAATCTTCCCGATATTCGATGAGCCGTTCGATGACCGTAATCTTACGTGCCGTCACTAGCGGTGCCGTCAAAGAACGGATGCATACACGTTAAAAGAAGCGTACAATGTCCATTTGAATACAAACCGCAACTATGGTTACCGCGCGCAAGGCAGTAAAGCGAATTGCAACACATATACCGCGTATGGGCAAAGGAAGGCTTCCCCGTACGTAATTTATGTTCTTGCTCTTAATGCGCTACTAGCAATGATTAAAACGTAATTTCCACGGATAGGAAGAAATACGGCGTACTTGCGTTTTCCTTTGCTTTGATTTACGGCGCTTTATTTTTCTTCGTCATGATTTATACCGACGATCGTTCTCTCGCGAAACACGACGTCCGATTCATTCCACACTTTATCGAATAAAACCTAAGCATATACACGTACGAACGGTTCTTTAGAAACTTAGCGTTATATTGTTTAAGTGTGGAAATCGAACTTTTAGTTATATCGAAAACAGATTTTAAAATTAAAATTTTACTACTCTAAGATATTATTTTATATAAATCTTATTAATCGCCAACTCAAAATGCTGGTGTTCAAATAACACTCACCCCGCAGCATGCAAGAACTACAGGTAACTCTTCGTCTGTAAGTTCTTTCGACGCGTTTTCCTCTTCTTTGACAATAATTGTCAATTCCGAGTTGATATCCGTCGCGTTCTCGGTTGCTTCCGGAACTTCCGCGATCAATGTGTCGCTCGAGTCGCACTTGTTCAGATTAGTATCTTCCGTCGTCAATGTCTCGAGTGAGACCGCCGCGTCTTTTCTTTCTTCATCACGGAAAGGCTCTGGTTCCTTTGTCGGGGTTTTCTCGTCCGAGACAAGATTTTGCTCCGGATTTGCGTCTCTGGCATCCTCGTACAAAGACGTCCTGCTTCTGCTAAGATCGGCCCGGCGATCCTCTTCCAACAGCCTGATGAGAGCCTCGTGCGGAGTCTCCTCAAGGTTCTCGCCCCTCGAGGAATTCTCCTCGAGCGTTTCAGACGCGGGATCTTCGACGGGCTCCGCATCGCGGGCCGCCCCCTTGAGTCTCTCTTCGGAGAATTCCGTGTACTTCTCCGGAGGTTCGTCACGATCCTCCTGCTGACTCGCGCAGGTTGCAACGTCCTCCAAGTACCACGAAGTGCAGTTCTCCTGGCGTCTCTTCTCCGTGACGTTCTCATCACCTTTCGACAACGCGCCCTTGCACTTCTTCAGGTAGCTCTTCACTTTCTTGGTCTTACTCTTCCGGGTCTCTTGGCTGCGTGGCAAAGTATTGTCCACGTTATCGCTCGGATCTACGGATATTACTTCCGTAGGCGGTTTTAATTGCGTTTTCTCGGAATTCTGTGCGTCTTTCACTTTGGAATCGACCGTACTGTCAAAACAGACGCACGAATCCTGTTGATCAGTAGCCAGGGTCCATGTCTCTTCTTTCTCCGGCGGCCGGCGATCTGCCGGTATCACCTATAACGAGAATAAATGTATGTTATTAATGTTCTCAGGGCATATTAACATAAAAACAATTAAATTCATATATGTTCGTTAAGTGCTCGCATTCTCCATTGTCGTCGTTACGTCTATCATCGTACCTCTGGATCGTAAATCCAGCGAATCGGCGGCGGAGATTTTCCCACAATACATATTCACGTTTCGCGATTGATTAATTTACATAATCAACGTTGAAAAAATGTCGATTGTGCGCGATAAGAATTGCGTCAGCAATTGAAGGCAAACTGAACGATATAGCCGGTCACTCGATCGCTTTCATAATAATCTGTTAGATCGGTTGGGCATTATAGTACGGCTAGGTACAACTGTATCGGCAGCAATCGTTCGACTAGCTGCAACGCGACGTAAAACAATAGACTTATAATAAATATCGACGAGAAATAATGACGACAACGACGGTGTCGCCGTTAGCTAATATCAACCCTAAGCGGCGCATAACGATGACATTTTACGCCGCGGCTACGCGAAGCGTGCGCCCATAATACCACCGGGAATACAACTTCCTCCCGTAATATCTCCGATTTCATAATGCGCTAGCCCCTTGGTTTCCTGCTCTCTGAAATACGGCGATGCGCCGCTCCCGAGGACGTGAGTCATCGCGCGCGCGAAACGTAAATATAAAATGCTCCAGCTACCTCCCCTACTCGCATTGGTAAGGTATGCGATAACCAGGAGATGGGATCGAATCCCTTGCAGGTATAACAAGAAAAGAAGAAACAGTCAAGGCCCAATGCGCAGTTGTAAATATTTGTAACGATTGTATCGTGTTAAAAAATATATTATATTAATAACAAACGTTTCAATGTATTTCGAATCCTTTTCTTAATAACTCAAACAAGATGCGTAAAATTGTTTAAAGATACCCATTCGCTCGAAAATCATTGGTTATTAACAATACAAGTACAAAATAATTAATAAATACATTTCTAAGCAATCTTCTTACAGCTTTCATTTCTGTTGCGAACTGTTTTCCAGATGTGTTTGATTAACTATATTTTATAATATATGATTCAGCAGAACCTTGGCAATGACGGGATCATCCATTTCGCTAAATCTACGAAAGAGATGATCACGTCACTGTCAAGGTTTCGCGATCCCATCTTCAGACTTCCACGTAAGCGCGCGAAAGTTGCAGACGAATATCCGTTCCCGAGTAAATCTTGGTCTAGCCAGAGTTTACATGTTTTTGCGGCGGGCAAAAATAGCCGCGCGAGCGGATCGACATCGGCCGGAGCTGGTTTTATATCGTTCTCTACGAGAGGAGGGCCTGCGAGAGCCCGACTGGTAGATCGAATCTCTGCGATGATGCGATAGCAAGATGAGGCGTGGGAGCGGAGTCGGGCTAATCTTTCGAGCAGCGCGAGCAGCTCTCATTCGGAGCGCGTGTCTCCTCCGTCTGGCCGGCCGCTCTTGTGCCATCAAGAGGGAAAGTTTCCTCGAGTGCCCGGCCGTGTGCCTTTTCTCGCGCGTCGCGGCTGGAAAAGTGCGCCCCGCGAGGAATAAATCGAGAGCGTAATAGAACAGAGCGAAGCTATTCATTGTGCCGCGTAAAACAGCCAAAACGACAAGCGACAGCCGGTTATCCCTTCACTCCCTCCCCTTTCTCTCCTTTTCTCGATGGCGGAGGCGCGATCGGAAGCATGTTTAACGCTTTAATCAAATTATTAACCGACGGCGAACCGACGGTGCTTTCCCCTCCCTCGTAAATTTTACTCTCGTTTCCCGTGGCGCGACTGTTAGGTACTTTATTACAATGAGATCCAAACCTATTAGAGAAACTCGGAACAACCGGACGCTGACTGGCTAGATGGTTAAATGAATCGATCGACGGCCCGTGCTAACTGCCTCGGCAACCAATAATAATTACTCTTTTCTCTATGCCCCGGCTATGTACATGCACATATGTCATGTACGCCGTAACTCATTTTCTTTCTTGATACGTGAAATCGGCGCGCGTATTTCGCGTTGCGTCGTGCTCCACTGTCGGACACTGAATTGCCATAACGGCTGAACTGTGGATAAGAGATGTGCATATGTAATTGTATGATACGTATATATCGGGCATGGCTGTATTTGCACGGAACTCGCTGAAGAAACGGTCGTTTGTAGCCTACGGTAGTCTCGGTAACGAGAAGTCGCCAATCGTCAATACACGAGCATATAAATGGCCGCAACAGCGAGTATGTACGTTCTACTACGCAACGTCAACGAAAGATATGAACAGACGTGAACGTGGATAATTACGCAACGAGTGCTCAAGCGCACAATGAAATATCATGTCATCGCGAGCATTACGAAATGCACTTCTGTGAGAAGCACTTAACCTGCGATTGGCTATATTGCATCCGTCGCGACTGCGTGCAATTCATTAACGTGAAAAAAGTACAAAAAATTCGGAGAAGAGAAAAAATCAGACGTCTGTGTCTGGTCGCTAGACTTTTTCAACTTTTAACCGTCTAATGCACTCTAATGGATAATCCGTTGTATTTTTTTATTGTTGCAAAATTCATTGCGTTTTAGTTCATTCAATGTTCTGTTGCTACCTTCATCGTCACGCAATGATCTAAGATGCGCGAAACTAGAAGGCACATTCCATCGCAATATATGATATAGTCATCAATTATAAACCGCGATACGAGACCAAACGTGCTGCTACGAGGGAGAAGCGCGCGTAAAATAATAAATAATCTCTATTACACGCGCGTATGATAAATCAATGCCTATCTAGACTGACGTGCGATATGCGATTCCGGGTGCAGTCCACCGCGCGAATATATCCCCGAGCGAACCGGGGCGCGCCTCTGCCAGGGAACGTCTTTGACACGGTGCGCCGAATCGCGAAGGCGCGCGATTAATCTTCGTATCCTCTCGCGAAGGTGTTCACGCGAGATATCGTCAACAATGTTAATTAGTCCGCGGGATAATTTATACCCTCGGCACTCCATCGCCGTCCAGGAGCGGTGCGGATTACTATAGGAAAGGGCTGAGGAGCGTTCCGAGGAGGACGCGGACGTAAATCACTGGCGAGATGCGACGTATATAGAGAAAACCTGGCTCTTCTCGTCTCGCTCGAGAGCATCGCCGGTTAAATATTGAATGAAGATCCCGTCCATGCGTGTATACGTGTAAGTAGATATGTGTATCTGTGTACACCGGACACGACCGCGGCGTGTTAGACTGTCTCGGCCTCCTGGACGGTGTTACCGGTCAACGAAGCGTACCACGGCGATAGCACCCACTTTATTACGGCGACCGTAAGCATGGACGACGTATTTATCGACCAGTGATTCGCACCACTTACTTACTATAACTAAGCTCTCACGATGAAAATTACGAGCCTAATATGGACCTATGAACGAACGTGTATGTGAAGATTGTGTGCGTCCATCGAAGTAACATGTTGATTATCATCGATAAGAAGCAATTATTTATTATCTTTCGAAGCTTCATCTTCTCCACAACTTCCATTCGCTTAGAAAGTAATGGACCGCACGATCTTTCTTAAACGTTAAATTCACGCTATGCGCGACTTTTCTGTTTGGCAACATAGCCGTATGTTGATAAGAGCCAACTGTATTATTTACGGTCCGACACCGTTTTCGCCGAATATAATAGCTGCAATGAGCCAATTGGTGCTGATCAGAAATTTCGCACAAAGATTAGTAACTTGCAAGTAACCGCGACCTGCTTTAGCTGCATTACTTGTTATGCCTTACTCTTAGGCTATTTTTGTCGCTCTTATACGATACCATTTACTGCAGCGTGGCGTGCAGTAAGAGAGACGTTGACAATTCTAAGTAACCCCTCTACTGAGCTGCCGCAGTCCCTAGCGTCTTTCCGCAGGTATTATACATTTCTACCGTTGTTGACAACGATTAATGTGTCAGATCGACGATGTACAAAATTCAGCATCATTCGTACATAACGAGGAAGAAGCAAAACTTAAGTTATCAAACAAATTGAATGTATTTTTCTTGAATATTTAACCATAAAATATTAAATCTTTGTGAATAACGATTAAATATAAATAAAAATATGATAGAAAGTAATACAAAAACTTCAGTATCCTTTCTAATTTACTCCTATCGCACATTTTGTGTTATAAATATGGCTCTACTTCAATTATACATTTTACAAAAGTAGCAATATTTTTTAATTCTTTATCACGTTTTATATATCACGTAAAAGTGATTTTAAAAAATACTTGTTTTTTTGTCAGATGCTATTAATAGCATTGAAGGAAATGGACTGTTACAAGGAGCACGTGCCTTGTGATTTAATTTAATATAATACGTGACCCAAAGACAAGGTCTACAAAACGTTGTTATTTGAGGGAGAAAGAGTGTTTTGCTACGTGGTTGGAGTTCCCGTGGTTGCTGCGCGTCTGAGAGCAAGGGTGGAAGCTGTGGGGCGCACGCGAGGGTTTCGATCGATGAAAGCCCCACCCCAATACAATCTGACGGGAAGCGGAGGCAATGTCGCTGATCCGCTTGCGCCCGGCTAGACGGATACTTGAAGCTGCGAACGGAAGACTGCGAGTTTTTTCAAATATCGACACACAGACTAACTATACGTCCAATGTCCTATTGATATATATATTATACTGTAATCATATTATATATTATGTAAAATTATAATAACACGTACAAAGAGATTATAGCGAAGTAAATGAGATGTTGGCAATATTTTTCAATGGACCTATAACAATTACTAGCAATTCTATCCATTCCCGTTTATTTACGATATCGCTGTACTAAATATCGCTAAAATAGAATATAGACAATAATGATTGCGATCTGTATTATACGGACTTGAAACTTGTAAGTAATATTTTATTTTAATCTACGTCTACCCCAAGTCCAAGTACTGCTATTTGTACTCATAAATGCGAGCGTGGGCGTAGACCGTAAAAAATATATTGACAGTACCATTAGACTGGCATACCCACTTGGTTGCTCCATGTATTTACCGAGGCTCATAAAAACCAACAAATTCCATCGAAGCCCAGGAAGCTGAATAAAAATTAGGAGCGTTTACCTTCCTTGGTCTGAGAGTCGTTATACTCGCATAGTATCCTCCCGTGATGCCCGCGTGTCTCGTAATTGCGACGTCTCTAAAATTACCCCTTATATTGCTTTCGATCAACATATTCGCGCGCTACGAGACGCGTCGCAATTATTACTAACGGGTTAGCAATTCCGTTAACAGCGATATTAAAATGCCTTAAAAAAATAAAATTTTTTATTTCGCAAATCAGCTTTAAACCGTGTTTTCAAATTCGCGCTACTTATTTATCTTCTATGCATAGGTCTTTACACATAAACTACACGAGTAATATGACGCTATCAAATTATATCAATTCACTAAAGTTTTGTTTAAAATGTTAATTTACGATAAATCTAAAATTCTAAAGTCTAAATGCACAAAGTTAAACTTAAAGTTTGCTATTAATGATAATAGACGGAATTTAATTAATAAATTCTAATTTTGTTTTTTTCTTGAACAATAGAAGAGTAAGCGTGGCTCATTTCAATTACAGGTCCAAACTTAAATAGCTAACTGCGGTTAAGATTATTGATTTCAAGCTATATCGACCGTCTTTTCGCCCTCACCCCAGTGCCGTGCAATGGACGGTTCCGTTGGCCTACTTTAAACGTCACGTCATAGCGTTTTTACAATCGCGATTGAAAACCGTTTCGCAATTTACACAATCAATAACAAAAAAAATCAATTCCGTTCACGTTGGCGTTACGGTGCGAATCGATGTCGTCGTCATAACAGCGCGCACCAACGTCTATTTCCATCAATTTCCGTCGCGCTACCTCGAAGCGCTATCGCGAAATTGCGATCTGGAATTTTCGCATATATGCGCATAGTTATTCCGACTTGACCGACGCAAATGAACGTAGGCCAAGGTGAGCGAGCCAATTCCAATTTGTGGTAGATCGCGGGCGTGATAAGTTTTCCATTATCTCGCGCGCCGAGATTTCGCGCGCGGGAATTGCCGCGGTCCTGACTGATGGTCGACTGTATCGGCGTTTCTCAAGTTTCACGTAAAAGGCCGACTTCATCTCGAACGCTATTCGAGTGCGCGACTCGAGTTTCTAGACTTCGGTCGCGATTTGAATATCGAAGCGTCATTAAACCGGATAACGAGAAACCTGCCCGCCGTCGCGGATACGAGCGAGGAGCGAGCCTTATTCGCATTGTATCGTTCAATTTGCGGATGCGCATAAACCTTCCTTGGGTTAAACGGCACAATGTAGAGAATCCACGCTTATTTATCCCTTTTATAAATATCGTGAGTGAGTTAAACGAGCAAATGCATTTTATATGGAAATATTGAAAAACGCACAAAATCGTCACGCTTGTCGGCCTCGACGTAACGTTGACGACAGCGTGGGAAAGAGGCGAGAAAAGTCTAGGGATCGCGAAGCGCTCTTCCGCTCCTGCGACTCGCGAAAGAGACTTGTGGAGAGACGCGAGATCGATTTATTGCCTGTAGTAACGGGCCGGCACTCCTCTGCAAAATGTCGTCGCTATATCCAAGTTTGCTCTCCCATCTCCACTTTGCGTGTCCTCGCTCGTATCCTTTTAACATTTTTTGGAACACACGTCATTACCTTGTCAATATGCACGAAAAAGAAAAATAGTAAAAATACCATTCAGCCATTATGTGATAATTATTTAATCAATATGGTGCACTAAATGCCAGATTGTCAGATAAATGCAACCGGAGATCGATTATGACGGGGGACTATCGTTAATTACGTCTCTCGGTAGGATATTCGTCCACGCGGAAAATTGCTCCATTTACGAGATTGCGCGTACTTTTTATATCGATTGTCCGTTGGATTTGGTAAGCGTGTTTTCCGAGCGATAGATACATGAGTGCGACTTTAACACGTTGCGTTAATAATCTGCGAGTACAATCACTCGACTTCTATACACCCGATGAACGCGATAACGCGCGTAAATGTCGCGATTAGGATTTTCGCGGGAAAATCGCATATGCTAATAGGACCGGCGGCATTTCGCTGTTCGTTGTTACGTGATTTCGTCGCGGAGTCAATTACACGGTTAAATTAAAGTCGGCGAGCAAATCATCGTACACTTGACGCATTCAATGCAAATTGCCGGGCCGCGTTCGAGCTGCGGGACGTGTAGATAATCCATTAATGCACGTATGAATGTCACTTTGGATCGCGCATAACTCATCCGGGTTAAAGTCTCACCGCCGAGGGCGAAAGTCGGTATCGATGGCGATAAAACGCGTCGATAGCGCGCAAACGCGGCGACAGACAATCTGGCGACGCGAGGCGAGCGAGCATTATTACCCGTGTATGCCACGAAATGCCTCGATCGGGTATACGGTAATTACCGGAGACACGAGAAAAGTCCGCGGGGACAGAAAGCCGAGCGCACTGATGCCTGAAATTTAACGCCAACCGCGGTAACGCCTTCTTTCTGTTATGCAAATCCTGCACACGCTCAAGTCGCGCAGGTAAAACCACCGTCGGACAAAAAACGTATCTCCACGTGCTAACACACCGAGTAAATACACTGAAAACTCGCTTAATCCGAAGGAAGCGAGATTAGATGATGACACGTGCAACGCAGTCGCCGTATTTCATTCGCGATCCTATCGATTATGTAAGCCAGTGCGTTACTCAATTTCTAAGCGATCATTAAATGAAAATTGTGTTGATATATCAGATATGTATCAAAAGAATAACTTCGATGACAAATCTAGATAATAATGAGAAAAGTCGACCAGTTATTATAGAACCTGTGTTACCTGTGTAAAGTTGTGATACCCTGTTCCTCAATAATAAGTCTCGATATAATTGATATAGAATTTTTATTCTGCTTTCTAATTTTTCCATACCGAGTTTTAGAGTTCCTTCAAAAAAAATTCCGGTAAAAATTAAATATAATTAAATAATAAGGTACAAAATTTTCAGAAATCTGATATGTCAGTGTTTTCAAAACTTTCTAAATAATTCCTCTAATAATAATTATCTCAATATTATTTGAGGGAACTGTCCTTAGATGATTATTATGTGAAGATTTTAATTATTATCATGGCATTAACAAAGTATATCAGATATGTTGATGCAACGTCATCGAGGGCGCTTTGAAGATAACGTTTCGGGCGCGGAAATGACGGTGTGCATCTATCTAAGTGCAGCGTAATTTCCTACGCGCGTCGCCCCGCCTCGTAACAAATAAACAGCTTTCCTAAAGCACTTTCTACGTCTCTATTATTCGACATATGATCCATCGAGAAGATCAGTGTTCATTTATCCTCCGTAGCTTATCGACTGTCGAACGAATTAAAATGTCAGCTAGCGGAAACAGTCGTTAATCTTCAATGTAATTTGGGGCATCAAAATAACTCCGTTTATTTCCTTGCCATTTGTGTAACTTTAGGTAAGTTAAATGCTAAATAGCATACCATATTACAGGAAGTTAACGGAATATCACGAGGTCAAGGATACCTAACTTCGCACGTGTCTGTTAAGAACGCGGGATTAACAGACATTCGAGATACAATGGCCGTGCCTTCCGATTCAATGGGAATAAAAACGGCGGAAATGAAACTCCGAGTATCTGCGTGAAGCGCGCACAGCGGATTCTTAATAACTCTCAAAAAAGGCTATTCTCCATGTTTCCGGCCATCTCGCTCTCTCGGTGACTAATGGATCGTCATTATAGCAGCACTCAATGTCTCTATTATTCTCAACTATACATCAATCTGCATGCGAAAACGAGCAGCTCGCTGCTCACTATGCTGTTCCACCATACTAATCTTTCCGCGGGTCAATAAGTCGCTTTTTTTTTAAACGGTAATTTGTAATCGCGGGGTTACTTACATTCGTTATGTTTTGGAATTTGACTAATAACGCTTTTAACCCACAGGTACGCGAACAGTTGTTCCTCAACGTAATTACGCACGCAGCAGAAGAATGAGTAAACGTATACTGTGTTGCAATAAAATGTTCAATATACGTTTAAACAAAAAATAGTAAGTTTTAAATATGTTTTAAAATATGTAATAAGCTTATTTTTTGTTTCAATAAATTATAAATTATAAATTTTGTGAAGTATTTATACACATGTAATTGTGATTGGTGCAGAATATAATTTTTATATTATTTGTGTATAAAAAATTTCTATATTAATTATAATTTTTAAAAATTAATTACATGTGTTTTCTATTGCAATATAAACCCAAGTAAGCTAAAGTAAAACTTTCACAACAGTCATCTCTCTCTCTTTCTCTCTCTTCAATATTTGTAATAGTTCTATTTCTATTCCTAAAAACTACTAATAAAAAAAAGAAAGTATGCTAAAAATTCTACTATGTTAAAAAATAATAAATGCAAATTGTTGCGTCCAAACTCACGCATCCTACACCTTGAAAATTACGTTGACACTTTGTGAAACAAATTGATAAATAGCTGTATCGTTTGACTTCCAACGAACCGAAGATTCGAAAAAAATTGCGAAAAATTCGGCCTAACAAACTGTACCTTCTTCCGGCGCAGTAACTTCCAATCGAAATGACTCATCCTGTTCAGCTCGTTAGCCTCTTCTTATTCTCTTTCCTCGCCGCCGATTCCGTTCCTTCGTCCTTTCTAACCGTCGCAAACGGATGAGAACGAGCCTCGCTTAACACTCCGGTCAATTTATTCCCACGGCATATGCATTCGCGACGCAACTAGGTTTCGGTCATACATCTCAGTGGAGCAAACGACGGCGGCGACGACGACGACGATGGCGACGACGACGACGACGTAGACAAAGGGCAGAACGACTCGGCTCGGAGTTTGCATTCCCAGCACGGCATTCCAGCATCGTAGCGAAACGGCCGTTCTGAGATCCTCATTGTTCTCGGGACGCGCGCTCGAGGATACGTGTCCTTGGCGTGGACAGCGGCATCCGCCCACCTTCGAACGCGGCATGCACCGAGATAGCTCAAAACCAACCGAGAGCGCGAGAATCCGCTCGAGAGCCCGTCAAGGTTCCAAACGGGATTTCACGTTCTGAGAGAGACGCCTCTGACAGATGGACGTTCGTGAGGAGCGGAGCACAGCAGGTTCGTATATCCAGGGCCGCCCCAGGGAAAAGAACCCCCGCCCTTCTTACGGAGAATCACAAAACACAGTCACGGCTGTTACGAGAACTACTACATTAACGATTTAACGATTGTCTTCGCGCTACGAGCGTATCCCTTAAGATCGCGTTGATCGCGAAGATTCCCGAGGTGTTTGACACGGAGCGGCTCAATAGAGGAGACGTCATCCTGTCGAGTAGCACTTTACATACGACACACAATATACACACGCGTACACACACACGCACACATACACAAGCGCGCACAACAAAACCTGATTCTTCAACGGAACCCCTCCCCCCTTCCCCCGTCGCAAGATTACTTCGTAATTTTCAGGAAGATTTACACGGCACTTCGGGACGCCCGCGCCGGTGGTAATCCGGCGACGCCGAGAGAGCCGGGCTCCACCTCGCCGAAGAGGTATTCATGTCCGTGAAATCCGCATACTCGAGTTAACACAACCACCTTCCCGCGCGCAAGTCATTCAAACACTTCACTCTTTCACGACTACACCCGCCCACTTGGGCTCAAAAACGAGTCAACGCCTTGCTCCGAGACGTCGCGAAGATTTCGGACCCGCCGCGCTGCCATTCCTTTCCCGGCCACCCCGAGAGCGTAAAACTGAAAAACGGTACTGTCTACGCGATTCGGGCGAGTCCCTCTCGGAGCAACTCGATGAGTTCACCACCTGTAATCACCTCTTGTCACTCGTGACGGAACGGAAAACTCTCGAATCGAGGACCGTTCTCTCTTCCCACGCGATTAAGAAACGATTTATCCGAATTCGGGCCTCAGAACTGTTTCATTCCTGCTAGTTTTCTACCCCTAATCCTACCTCAACGAAGGAACACTCTGGACGCGCACAAACACCCGCTCAGGTTCTATCGACTGACCCGATTCCGCGAGCGGCGCTGCTAAACGCGCACGTTTAAGCGACGCGTCCGACGCATCTCTCTCGCGATGCGCCAAATGTATCTCCCGCGCGGAGCCACGCACGAACAGACGACAATGATGGTGATCGGCGCCGTGAACGACAAGGTTTGAGATGCATCTTAACGCGGAGGATGCAGGGCGGCGTACTGTCAAAATATCCGTCAGGCGATTCCGCGGACGAGAACGAGAACGCCGGGGAACACGGGCATGCGTGATAACGCTTCCCTCTCGCCGTCGTCGTCGTCGTCGCCACCGACATCGACATGGGGATAATCGAACTCCCCCGGCGCGTCGACTTCCTTCCCTGAATGAAAATAACGCGGCGTGCATGCAACGATCTAGCCGGACGAAGGCATTATATTCTCATTTTTCTCGTATCTCAACATACCAGACGTGAAAATGGCGGACCACGGATGGATCGCTCCGGTTCAACGCGTTGATATAGTTAGTGTTACCTAAGGCAACGAATGCAGCGCGAAAGAACAAAGAGTTTATGCGCAACAACATTGCAACATATGTATGCGGTAATAGTTAGAATAATTCATCTCGTCTCGAGAGATTATTGTACCGCACAGTAACACGGTAACAAATAATGCTTGTGCGATTTGAACGTGACGATTGACATCGGCATACGACAAAGCCGACGGAACTTTTGACCCACCATGAAGAGACGGCAGAGTCCTTAATACCGTGAATAAATCGCAAATGCACGGACAAGGACTCGGCCACCACATAGCACAACAAGTCGTGTTTCATTAGTCGAATCCTTCTTCGAATTCGAGACTTCGCGACTCGCGTCGTCGGTAATTGAATGCCTCTTTCATCGTGCGCTCGAATTGCCGTGTCACCGATCGGACATCGATCCCATCGCCGCGGCGCCGTGTCACGCTCACGACATTGCGTTTTCAGGATCGTGTTAACAATTATAAAGTCTAAACGGATGCAAACTGATTGACGGCCTTCTTGCGCGGATCGGTCGCCATTGAAGTCGAACCGACTGATTAACAGGCGTAAAATTTCACATGAAACGTACAATATCTCGAAGTAGATTTCTAGGTGTAAATAATCGTGATCCTTGCAAGTGTAAAAGGAAAATAAAAACCGATAAAAATAAAAATGTTGACGTTTTAACGAGCTACTTACGGTACTTTGCGAGCGGTAAGACAGATTCGCGTGTCTAATCGCGTTTCACGGATGATAGAGCGAATGAAATCTGTTACCCGAATGCATTATTAAATATAGAATATCCCATAGATGCACGAGTGAAAATTGATAGGCTCGAGATGTATTCGCTTAACATAGATCGTGCGAGAATTGGGCCGCACACGGAAGGAAAGTGCTAGAAATAAGCACCGTAACAAATTCGCGAGTAAAAGTGATACTTATTGGTACTTCCGTTATTCCATCAAACAGTCAATTCACGTGCGTGTATACACCATACACAGAAATTATAATTGGTACAATTTCAACATTAAAAAAGATAGGAAATTATTATGTTTATTCGTATAGCATGTTTTTTGTGCCCATAATAAAAAACGATAATATTCGACCAATTGACGTGTTTGGATTTATAGCTTAGGTATTTAATTATTTCTATATGAAACAGATTCGAATTATTATAGAAATGTCCGAATATAATAAAGTAAAGCAAAATAATATTTAAATAATATTTAAATAATATTTAATAAAAAACGAAATGTGTTATTAAATAAAAATAAAACAGAAATATTTTCTAAATCTCTAGAAGTATTATTTTACAAGTGTTTCTTTCGATTTGTCTTTACATGTTCAATAAAAAAATTTTTGATATTAAAATTTTTTTTATCTAAATATGTATGTTACGGAAGAGGAGATTAATTTAGATTCATATTTAATTTATATATTAATATAATCGAATCTCTATATTTGTAAATGCAATTTTGGTGTAACTTTTCTTCTTAATTAGAAAAAAAATAAATAAAAAATAATTTCTCTTTCGCTATATTCTACTCCATTTTCATCAAACACGTATATGAATCTATTCTTATTCATTTTAAAATTCTTAAATTAGGTTGCATCTTGTTTCTACTTTTCTTCAAAGTTCATTGCACTACCGCTAAAAAAAAACGTGTGTCCATGAGTGTATATGATGTGTAAATATATGTGAGGGTCTGCAATGTATTGAGCTCGGGTCCGTGGGTTTGCTAAGCCCAAATGACTGTGCAAACCAGTCATCCCTGCGGGAATTGCAATGCAACTGCATTTATAAGCAGCCTGGTGCCACCTGTTGGTTGGTGCTTGTACTAGCGCATCTTCTTACGTTTGATCAACAACGTAGAGCTAACAGAAATGCACGTGTACGAATAGATATTGTTATAGCGTTTTTCACTGGCAGAGCCGGTGCGCACTCAGTGCACATTAAAGCCGTCGTACACAAACCAACGTAAAGTGTATGTTTAATATAATCGGGTTAAATCATGAAATCCTCAATATTCTTTATTGCACTATTTGGTAAAATATGTACTGCGAGTATTTTATCAGTCGAAATATTTGCATTTTACTTTAAATATTAGATACTAAATCAGTGTACAACGGCTTTAATGTGCACTGAGTGCGCACCAGTTCTGCCAGTGAAAAACGCTATTAGAAAAAAAAACATTTAATATTTTTGTGTATGCGTATTGTTCAAATAGACACCTTATTAATTGACCATCGAAAGATATTTCTTTCACATAGTAACAAAAAATTTGTGACGGAAATTATCACCAAAAGTACAGAAATTATCCTGCGTTTTCCAAACATAGTATATATGTCGCGGGGATTTTGTGTAATTCATTTTTCTGCAAAATCCCTTAGAAAATTCACAAAAATCAGGATATTGTAGAATATATTAAGAATATTGTAGAATGAATAAAAAATACACAATTTTACTAGGAAACTTCAGTAATTTTGCAAAATCGTAGGCTCTGTCAATAAAATTGTAAATTGAGATTTTTATTAATTTATATTTATAAATTATATTTATAAATTATATTTATATTTATGTTATATTTATCATTTTTATTTATTCCACAATATCCCGGTTTTTTGCAAATTTCCTAAGGATTTTGCAAAAAAAAGAATTACACGAAATTACACGAAATCCCTGCGACATATATATTTCAATTTTTCAATACATTATTAATCTTTTATGTACGAATTGCGCATATTGATTATCGATATCTATGCATATCCGTCTAACGTTTTAAACAGTAGATCTACGAGTCAGAATCTCGCGTCTCATCCAAAGTATCGAATTAGTATTACACAAAAAACTAGAGCGTCTCAGCAGGATCAATGCCCTCGTATATGTGGCGAATGTCCGCTTGTACAATCGCGTGCAATAATTACAAGCGCGCATATCACTACATATTACGATTAATAAAAAAGAATTTAAGTAATATAAAAACTAGAGTGAAAAAATTACACTTTTTTATTACCTTTTACAATTATTATCTCGTATCGAAAAGAAAAGAAGAGAAAAACTTTCACGTTCAAGCCGATAGTTAATACTTATTTCTCTAATTGTAAGTAGCATTTTTATTAAATATGTAATTAAATGTATGCAAACTATATATAAAGCATGTAAATGGACATTTCAGATACCATGCGAAACTAATATAATATACATATATAAAAGCTATTAAACAATTTAAAAATTCTTTTAAAATATAACTTCGGAAAACATATTAAATATAAAAGAGAAAGAAAACGTATCAAGTTTTTTTTCTCAAGAATAACGTTGTCGATTCAATAAGATTCGACAGAAATACTAATATTTTATAAAAATGAAGCAATAAAAATATGAATATAAAATAATATGAAATAAAAAATAAATAAAATCATAAAAAATTAAATATATTTACAAAAATAATAAATTGCAGATTTAACTTAAAATCGATTTTTCTTCTAGAAAAATCTCATAGGATGTGGATCATCAACGAATAAAAATAGTCGTCGCGAGACAAGTAACAAGATCAATTGCAATATACATACAATGTATATTATGTAATGAATAATCAGGCACACTGGTGTAGGTTGTGTTAATCCCTACATCATTTTAAGCGTTGTACTCGGATTGCATTATTTAATAAATTAGTGTGCATGTTATCGCTTTACGTCAAAGCCTCGCGGCGTGTCAATTGCTCATGGGAAAGAATTTCTTTCACATATTCCGCAATATCGTAGTCTAGAAGGTGAGAAACATTTGTCGTTCTCGAGCGATAGTGAGCTTAGGAAGAAAAATAAGAGACTGTGCGAGGCAACGAGGAAGCACGCGCGTAACCATGCATTATTTATCGCCATCGCTCAGGAAGTTGTTAGGTGGAGCTATAAAGCATTGCATTCGCGAGAGAAAGAGAGAGACACACCTGGATTTCTTGGCGCGAGGAGCTTCTGCTCCGTGAAAAAAAAACAAAAAAAAAAGAAAATAAAAAAAATGTCCGCAACAAGTACCGCGGACGCGAGCATAGTGATCGCGAGCCGCGCGTGTGCACTTTCAGCCGCCAGAAAATCTTCGAGTTCGATCGATCATTTCCCAGCGGCTGATATTGTTCATGCGAGCGGCTCCTTCCGGCACGGCGCCTATCATTTATCAGGAAACGAGAATGGGGCCCTGTACTTTTGAATAATTATTACATCCCAGACGAAGCATGCCTCGCGTGTATCGCTTTCACTCGAACTTCGAGTCACAGCTGGGCGAGGTCAGTTGTGCGTGTGATGATTGATCACTACTAAATTCGTACTTGTTGCATCGTGGGCCGCGCGATGCCCGCTGATAATAATTACAAAGCAGCCCGCCGTATTATCCTAGATCTAATCAAAGCCACGTTGAAAAAACGACGCGAGAATTACGGCCACGCTCCTCGAATCTGTTTTTAATCCTACATTGCTCATAATTCTGGTGTTTGATAAAAATAAAAACAGTGAAAAAATAGAAAAATTATAAAAAAAAGACTCGAATGCTTTAATAATTTATCAAATTATTCTTTTTAACTATTTATTTTCGTATAACTTTTTACGTAATTAATGAAAAGATCAATCTTTTTTCTTTATATATGTTATATTTCTTCTAACTATAAAACAAAGAGTATCTCCAAATATATTATTGAATTAAGTACTCTGCACACAAGCGATAAA